AGGACTTAGGGGCCCCTGATGCAAGTGTGCCCGTCCTAAGTGAAGGCGGGTCTAACAAATCACGAGAGGCCCAAATGCTGTCAATTTCGTATGTGCGGTTCGGACAGTTGTGTCGCGTCAGTTGGTTGAGGGAACCCAGGATTCGAGCTGCAAAGAATTTCCACGGCCTTCCAGGCCTTTCTGAAATGCAGGCCCTGGGCAGGTTTCGCAGCAACATACACAGACAGGGAGGCCTAACTGAACGAGGCCCAGCAGCTGCAGCACAGCAGCTGCAGCAGAGGCCCAGCCACCTGGGGCCTACCGGAAGCTTCTGGGCGCAGGCCAAGCCCAGCCAAGTCGGAGGGCTGGCCAGAACTCTTCCATATAGGAAAGAGCTTGTGGCCAGGCACAGCATTCTCCTTCCATATGGCCCATAGTGTGACCTTGTGCACCATCCCGAACCAGATTTCTCTGACTTGCCAGAGGTTAAATTAGTCCAGAGGAGCAGTTGAAGGGGGTGCTCTGGGAGGGGAAACGAGAACAGAGTATCACATAGTGCTGCTGCTCTTGCCCAATACTCTGTGGCTTCTTTACAGTTAATCAGGCAATGTATCACATCTTCCTGTTCTTGATGTGAGCAGACTGCACAGACCTCAGAGCTGGTTCGCTCGTTCTGTCTTCTTCTGAAATGTAGTCACTGGTTAACCGGTAGAGCAACGTATGTTATGGGCCACTGCATGCTTCTGATTTTTATAGGTCTTATCGTTTTATATTTCTTCCATGGGATTTTTGCTATCTGGTCTGCCTCAGAACCAATTAACTTGCTCCATCTTCCTTTGATTGTTGGGCCTGGGTCCTTTGTTTTTAACAGCATCTTGTAACCCAGTGCGAGGATGTGGCTCCTCGACAGGACTTAGGGGCCCCTGATCCAAGTGTGGCCGTCCTAAGTGAAGGCGGGTCTAACAAATCACGAGAAGCCCAAATGCTGTCAATTTCGTATGTGGGGTTCAGACAGTTGTGTCGCGTCAGTTGGTTGAGGGAACCCAGGACTCGAGCTACAAAGAATTTCCANGCCCAAATGCTGTCAATTTCGTATGTGGGGTTCAGACAGTTGTGTCGCGTCAGTTGGTTGAGGGAACCCAGGACTCGAGCTACAAAGAATTTCCACGGCCTTCCAGGCCTTTCTGAAATGCAGGCCCTGGGCAGGTTTCACAGCAACATACACAGACAGGGAGGCCTAACTGAACGAGGCCCAGCAGCTGCAGCAGAGGGCCAGCCACCTGGGGCCTACGGGAAGCTTTTGGGCGCAGGCCCAGCCCAGCCAAGCCGGAGGCCTGGTCAGAACTCTTCCATATAGGAAAGAGCTTGTGGCCACGCACAGTATTTGGGCACTTGCAAGCTAGCGGCAGCCCTGCTGGAGCGGAGTCTCGCGGGCTGCTGCTTGCGCTAAGGCAAGGTGCTACGCACGTGCGGTCGTGTACGAGATAGGGCGCTGCTGAGGGCAGCGCCATAGCCCAGCCTTCATAGCTGGCTGGGGCTTGGAAGTACAGCAAGGCGCAGGGGTGGTCTTCGGGTGTACAGAGGGAAGAAGTGGGTGAAAGTCGAGGACGAAGATAGAAGGATGATGTGAGGGTGTGCATACCCGGTATTGGCGATGGCCTGCATTGGTCGACATCCCCAAGTACTTCGTTGGCTGTTGACGTCCCAAGTACTTCGTTGGCTGCTGACGTCAACAGTTGCATTGTCAATTAGTAGACAGATAGTAGCTGTGTAGGGAATAGGCTGAGCGCCGAGCGGCAAGCGAAGTAGGGAGAAGGGCCTGGATTCTTATGTTGGTGATGGCGAGAGCCAGCTCTCATTGACAATCGTTTTTCAGTGTTACGATTCTCCATTGGTGTTATATTGGTGCAATGCTGCTTTTTGGACACCGTGATACTCTGACTTTCAATGTGATTGTGCAATCTTGATTTTGTCATCTCGCTATTGCTCATTTTCCTTGCAATTTGGTATCGGAGCTGATTTGAACTGCGCTTTACTGCTTCTTTGCAATAGCTGTTCGGTGCTTCGCATGAGGTGTGGGGCAGTGATAAGGCTTGGGCGTTGGACGATAGGCGGCCCAGGGTTGTGTAGGCGCGCCGGGAAGGCTATGTGGTGACATTGGGGTGTACGCTGGATGATGAGAACTTGCTGAAGTGGCACTTAAGCTGAGGTGGAACTGCATTTCGTTGTTGGTTTTGCCAAGGGAAAGACCGGTCATCATAAATGCATGTCAGGTTGCCGGTGAGAAATCTGTGGTTGGGGGCAGCATTATGAGGTACATGGCTCTCTTCCTTACCTACCCTCTTCAATACTCCTCACCGTGAGGAAGTGAGTTATGTCTTGAGAGTCCTCTCATTGTGAGGTGTCGCAAGCACTCAACCTTGAGAGTCGAAATTCTTCCTGGCAAGCAAGCTGGTGGGAGACGGGCGAAGCCTTTGAAGGGCCTTGGACTGAGCGCTCGGGCCACGGTCACCATGCCAACCCGTTGGGACTAGTACATGCATGCTTTCCCGCAAGTCCTTGGTTCTGCTGCTGCGCAATAGAGGTCATGTTGGGCATGCCAGCCTTTAAGAGACGCTTACCGGACCGTCTATAAACATTTCTGGCGGGTTTCGGATTGAACCCTGGTTGTGATCATCGTCTTGTCTGCGACATTAATAATTCCTGACGACCTTGGGGGCTGTCCTTGAACTGCCTCTTGATCAGCCAGATCAAATCGGAAGTTGGCTCCTTGCATGCGAGGGTAAACAAGGTGCAGGGGCTGGCAGGCTTAGCATAGACTTGGGGCACAGGGGTGGGCCGGATTGCACACCTCAAACACGCTGCTCAACCAGATGCTCAGGAAGTCAACACAGAGAGACTACTCAAGAGGGATACAGGGAGAGGGGGGATTCCGGTAACTGTCCACTGAGATACTAATTAGATAAACGGCCATCCAACATGCATCTCCACAAGTAAACTATTTTTAATTTTTGATTATTTAGTTGTACGAAATTGGTAACAACTAACAGACAGCTGCAGATAGGATAGCATTCTTTGCTGCATAACATTCTGTTTTAGAATAATCTAAAAATCTGTGTTAAAATTCGGGCCGCCCGGCGGCCCAGCCTTCGTCCGCAGGGGTCCCAGGCGGCCCGACCGGTTGGGTCCCCCGGTTTGGCGCCGGGCGGGCTCAGTGCAATTTCGCGCCGGGGGGGGGAAGGCCTTTTTCGCCCAGTCGTAAGGTCCCCCTGTTTGGCGCCGGGCGGGCCCAGCGCAATTTCTGTCTCTTATACACATCTAGATGTGTATAAGAGACAGGCCCCAGAACCAATTAACTTGCTCCATCTTCCTTTGATTGTTGGGCCTGGGTCGTTCGTTTTTAAAAGCATCTTGTAATCCAAGGCGAGGATGTG